ATACAAAAGCTTATTCTCGGAATGCACAGTTGCTTTAATATTTCAGAATCAATGGAACTTACTAGATGGCGATGGACAGGGTGATGGTGTCCTGCTCTGTCACACGGTATCACCCTCTGTTGCACTGTGTCACCCTCTATAACATGGTGTCACCCTCTGTAGCACGGTGTCACCCTTTGTTGCATGTGGTCACTCTCTGTCGCACTATGTCACCCTCTATAACATGGTGTCACCCTCTGTAGCGCGGTGTCACCCTCTGTGGCATGGTGTCACCCTCTGAGGCATGCTGTCAGTCTCTGTAACAGTGTCCCCCTTTGTCGCTCAGTGTCCCCTCTGTGGCAAAGGCAGTTGAAAAGCTTGATGCCCGTTCACGACAAACTGGGTGAGACAGAAGAAAAAGGAAACTTTCATTTTGGGGCATGGGGAAAATTTGGACCACCCTTGGTGGCACTCAGGGGACTGTCTATGGTGGGGGGGGGTCAAACTGGGCTTGGTCACATGCAAGGCAAGCACCTTACCCCCATACTACCCAAAGGGATCTTTGGGGGCTGGAGCAATAGAAGCAGGTAGGGTACTTGTATGTGCGTGGTTGACCTGGACTCAGTTCCTGGCATCAGGGCATCACTGAGACCTGCCAGATGTGATCTCTGAGCAGAGTCAGGAATAAGTCCTGAGCATCTCTGGGTATGACCTGGAAACCAAAGTAAACTAAACCAAAAAACCCCCACAAACACCAAAAAGCCAAAATCCCAAATAACAGCAACCCCCCAAAAAAGCGAACAAACAAAAGGAGTGTGTGTACAGGGCTGGAGTGATAGCACAGTGGGTAGGTCACCTTGCACACAGACAACCCAGGTTCGATCCCTGGCACCCCAGATGGTCTGCTGAGCCTGCCAGGAGGATTCTGAAAACAGAGCTTGCAGTAAGCCCTGAGCACTGCGGGGTATGACCCCAAAACCATTCAGAGTGAGTGTGTGTGTGAGTAGTGCGTGCGTGTGTGTGTGTGTGTGTGTGTGTGTGTGTGTGTGTGTGTGTGTAGGATGAGTGAAGGATGGCTGAACTTGTGACCAGCAAGACCAGAATAATGCCCATTCTCACGACTGGTGGTGTGGCCCTTGAGGTAGAGCTGCAGAAGCTCTTGGCAGGTCGCCCATGAGTCACTCACAGGCCTGGCTCTGGGGAGAGATCGAAACCCCACTAGGTTTCACAGACTGCAGCAGGGCTACTGGTCTCGAGGTCTATCTTCAAAAATAGATTCTAGGATCTGGAGAGATTGGACCGTGGAGGAAGCTTACCTTGCTCGCGGCCAATCTGGGTCCAATCCCAGGCATCCCCTAGGGTCCCTTGGCCCAGAGTGACCCCTGAGTGCAGAGCCAGTAGTAAACGCTGAGCACCATCGGGTGTGAGCCCCCCGCCCCCTGCCCCCATGCAATTGCTTCTATGTCTACAGCCAACCAGGAGAAGAGCCGGCAGGTGTGGAAGACACTTCCTTTTCCATGGGGCTGTGGGGACAGATGCTCTCACCCTTCCTCTGGGCAGTATCTGTAGGGTTCGGGCATAATTGTTTGTGGCCAGGGGTCCTGAGCTGCCTATCAGCTCAGGCAGACGGGGCTGGGCCAGGAGTGAACTGGCACTCTCAGTGGTGTACAGCTCCCAGGCACTCTGTCTCTGAGCTGTCCCCAGGCCCTCTAGCCAGAGAGGTCAAAGAGCTGAGCTCAGGCATTGCCCGCAGAAGGTTCGAGTCTGGTCATCCAGTGCAGCCAGGAGTGACCCTCCCCCCCCACCAAGCATCCCTGGGTGTGGGCCAAAACGCAAATAAATAATGCCATTTCCCCCTTCCTTTCTCCTTGGAGGGGGCGAACCCCCGTCTCGTGCGGTTTGTTGATCATCTCCAGGGCCCGGAGCTGCATCTGTGTCTTTGGGCCAGACCCAGCAGTGCTTGGGTGCTGTTCCCAGTTAGGTGCTTGGGGGTCGCTCCTGGCATGGCCTGAGAAACCATATGGTGCCTGGGATCAACCCTGATCTCCCGTGTGCTCGGCTGTGGGCACCACCTCTGGCCCAATACGGATCATTTTGTTTTATTGATTGTTGGGTTCCGTCCAGCGGTGCTCAGGATTTACTCCTGACTCTGTGCTCAGGGGACCATATGCGATCCAGATTGAACCTGGGGGTCAGTCATCTGCAGGCCTGTAGGGCGAGTGCCCTGCACACTGTACTCTATAGCCCTCTTTATTTATTATTATAAGTTTTTTGAGACCCTGGGGTTGCCCCTGGCCAGGCTCCATGGTGCTGCTGAATCCGGGCCTTCCACAAGCCGAGTGTGTGCTCCGCCCCTGGGAGGCCCGTCCCGGTCCTGGCTCCCTCTCTATATCATTGGCTCACTCACTTGGAGTTCACGGCCAACGGCACAGCAGCTCCGGCCTGAGTGGACCTCACGAACCACATGCATTTTCTTTTTGTCTTTCTGGCCACACCTGGCAGTGCTCAGGGCTGACTCCTGGCTCCAAACTCAGGGATCTCTCCTGGCAGGGCTTGAGAGATGCTCTGGGGGGGATCAAACTCAGGTCTGCCACATGCGAGGCCAGCACCCTCCCACCCATGGCGGCACCCTCTCTGGAGACCCCACATACATTTTCTTTTGGCTTTGTTTTTTTTTTTTTTTTTTGCTTTTTGGGTCACACCCGGCAATGCTCAGGGGTTCCTCCTAGCCTGTGCTCAGGAATCAAGCCTGGCGGGGCTCCAGGGATCATACAAGATGCCAGGCATTGAACCCAGGTCGGCTGTGTGCAAGGCAAGTGCCCTCCCTGCTGTGCTATGGCTCTAGCTCTCCCTGCCCCCACGTGTTTTCATGATCTCAGCTGTTTCAGGGAGAGGCACAACACTGGGCTGGGGGTCCTTCTCAATGTCGAGGGGCACAGGAAGCAGACACAGGCCCCCCATGTGGCACCACACAGACAAGTGGCCACTTGCTCCCCGACACGGTGAGGTTCACAGCAGAGGTTCCCGGAGACTTAGTTTTGAGCCTGGCCATGGCCCGCTCCGGCCAGGGCCCACTGAGCTGGTCATAGATGGGAGTGGGCACCGTGCCAACAGGGTGGGAGGGGGCTGCTTGTGGGCCTCTGTCCAGCTCGGGGTCCACCCAGCTGTCCCGCTGGCATCAGGGCGACCAGGCCCTAAGGGTGGCCGAGGTCCCTGACTGGGCCCTCAGTGCCCGCTCAGCTCCACTGAAGCCCCAAGCAGGGTGGCCCAGAGCGTGGCTCCAAGTGGCCTCGTCGGCTCTGTGGATAGGCCCGTCCCTGATTCTCAGTCCTTTGCCCCCAGACCCTGCTGACACTGAGCAGAAGCCGGGGATGGGCCCACGGGTTCACCCAAGGCTCCCAGCCCTGGCCAAGATGAGCCCAATTAGGTCTCGGCGGGGCCTGCCCGACATTGAACGTGGCCCCTGTGGAATCGGGTGTCAACTCACTTTCTGGCCATTAATCTCTGAGAGTCCATCAGGCCCATTTGCAAAACCCCAGCTGGGTCCCAGGGGACCGGGACCGGGGCGCAGAAACTGCTAGAAGCTGGGATTCCGGGGAGCAGGTGAAGTGCTCTGTGTCCCTGCCAAACCGGTACCGCCTGTGGGGGGACCAAGGAACGTGGGGGCTGGCCCCCACCTGAGCCTTGGGGGGGGCGTTGGGGACACCCCCCACCCCCCCAGGTCGCAGCGCCTCCTGCTGACCGGGAGGTGGCCGAGAGAATGCCCAGGGCCCTGCACGGTGCTGGCCTGGCTGGAGGAGTCCTCAGCAGGCCCTGCCCCACCCCGCCCTGCCCCAGTCCTCCGTGATGACCACGCAGGATTCTTAATGGCCCTCGGCCAGGGCTCAACTTGGTGCATTTCAAGCACTTTAGCCGCTGGGCCGGCAGACTGATGGGCGGGCACCATGTAATGAGGCCAAACTTCATAGCCTGCAAACTTTCCCCCCATCTCCCCCTGCTCCTGCTGCGACGCCACCCCTCCCCCGCCCCCATAAAAGGCTGCATCAGAGAGAGATTTCCATAATTTATAGTATGGGCATTTCACTGGGGACGCGCGCTAATCTGTACTTACCGATACATTTAAGAAAATGCATCCTCCCGCAAGCCGGCACCATTTATGACTCTTGGCACAAACCGCAATGCTCAGTCTTCAATTAAGGGACACCTTAGGGTTCATTATCACACAGTCGCTCCCTGTGAACCATGCCAAATGCTGTTTTGGCACGGAGCTCGGGAGATGAATTAGAAGGAAGTCTCGGTCCTGACTCCCATTACCAGCACCAGCGCCCGCCCCCTCACCGGAGCGCCTTTCACGATTCAATTTCTCAACGTCAAACTCGATTCTCTAGAGGTGTGGGTGAAGATGCCACATCTCCTTTCTGTCTTCCGGCTCCCAACAGGCCCCGTGCGGCCGCAGATGGGCGTCTGCTCACCCTTTCTGGGCCTGAAGGAGCCGCAGATGCCAGATGCTGTCCCCTCCTTGAAGGGCGTGGATGGGACCCCCCCCCCCCCACCCAGTGCGGGCTCAGTCTCCCCGAGGACACCCCCCTTTGGTTCCACCAGGCAAGTGCCGGGGCGGGCACAGGCCGAGGAAAAGGGTCTCCACAGGCAGCCAGCAGCAGAGCGGGGGAGCAGGATGCAGAGGTCGGGGGCCCACAGGGCCGGGCTGCAGACACCGGGGTGACGGTGAATCTGGGAGGGCGAGAGCACGTGGGCTGCCCGAGGGGGTGGGGAGCACGGGGAGCAGCCGGCTCAGCAGTTCCAGGAAACTGCTCCGGGCCAAGCACATCCCCCCCACCTCCGAGAACCTCTGCGAACCTTCCAGCCCAGCGCCAGCCCCCGCAGCCTCCGCCGCTGCGGGGAGACACGGGAAAGAGGCAGGAAGCCGACAGGGAGAACCTTCTCGGGCTTGCGAGGCGGCGGCCGGGCAGAGGGGTCAAGCGGACAAGCGGGTGGAAGGACAGACAAATGGGCCAGACAGAATACTTTGCCCACAAGATGCCTTGTGGGAATTTTATTATATAGAGTGTAAAATGAATTGTCAGTCAAATAAAAAGAACATCTTTTTAAAACAACATGCATAACATTTTCGAATTTTTTTTTTAATAGTTAGACATTTCAAGCATTATAAAGAAAACAGGAGGAAAAAACAGAATACGTGACTTCAGCACATTTCAAACGGAATGTCCCTCAGGTCAATTAAAAATGCAAGAAAAAAATAGCTTCAATTCCGTTTTCTTTAAAAATACAGGTTATCTGTACAAGATACATACTACAGTAAACATTGGAAATCATAGTATCCCTTTTATTAAATCAAAATTATTTAATTCATACTGTGGTTAATACTAGATTTATTTATTCATCTAATCTGACAAATATTAAAATATTTAAAAGAAAAAAAGCAAAAAACACCTTGGAATTAAAAAATAGTTACTACATTTGTATATGGTTTAATGTTCCACAGTGTTTGTTAAAAGTTATATCGAATTTCTTCTTAATATTAAAAATAACAGTATTTATACTTCTGAGAGAATAGAGAAAAGTTTTGTTTTGTTTTTAAAACAAGCTTGGAGGTCTTAGATACACAACTTCAACCAGTCACGGAAACATGAAAAAAATCTAAACACAGACACATTTTTATATTACGCTTTAGAACTCTAGAAATTATACAAACCCTATCAAATGCCCCCGCCCAGACCCGTCGGACAGTAACACAGTTATCTGCCTCAATTCAGAATTCACATAATTACAATACATAATAGTTCAGTTTTTTAAAAAAAATGCAATAAAACCAGACGGCCAAGGTACAAGAAATTAGAATACATTGAATGAATTTACACATTTAAGAATATTTAAATACTGTTTAAAATTTTTTAAAAAAGAATTTGTTACAGAACACCTAAGACTTCCAAGCCACTCTGTGTTGCCAAAAAAAAAACAAAAACAAACTGTGACTGAAAAGACACACAAGGGACGAAACGGGCCAGAGGTGCCGGAGGTCCCTGCCCTGGGCTGGCCGGGCAGCGCCCGAGACGGGAGACGACGGACAGTTGGACGGAAAGGAGACGGATGACCAGCAATTTTTAGTAACTAATTTCCCAGATTTTTAGAAAAAGTCTGTTAATCTAAATATAGTGTTTCACAGAACAAAACAAAGGATCTTCATCCAAAGGTTTGCAAATCTAAAAACCTCTGTTACAAACAGGATTCGTTCACGGTGGTTCCGGGGAGACGGCGTGGCCGCAGCCCTACTGCTCCTGCGGATGGACATACAGGTGAGGGGTCAGGGCTGGGAGGGGCTGGCCTGAGCCCACTGGCCGGGGGCCGCGGGGTGCCACGACCCCACCCCCTACTACCGATGCCCGGGGTGGCAAAGCCTGGCGCCTTCCTTCACGGCCGGGGAAACTGAGGCCCAAGGGCCCGATGGGGCGGGACCCGGCCCACAGCAGCTTTTCAGGTACGTGTGGGGGTCCGACCCCGCCCCCTTCCTGGGGCTGTGCTGTGGGGCGCCCAGGGGGCTGGCGTGGTACCCACCTGGCTGTGGGCCTGCGCCTGCCCGAGGCTCTGCCCGTAGAAGGCGACCTGCTGCCGGTAGTACTCGGCCCAGGCCAGGCTGTAGTCCGGCGGGGAGCTGGCCGGGGGTGCCGCGCTGGCCGCGTGACCTGAGGACCGGAGAGCCGCATTGAGGGCCCCGCCCCCGTCCCGCCTCCCTGGGGGTGGCTGTGTGTGGGGTTGGAGGGCCGGGCCCAGGTCTGGGGTCCTTGGCTGGGAGGATTCCTGGGCCCGCCCGAGTGGCCCGCACCCCATGGGGCCAGCACGTGGGGGCTCCTGGGCAACCATCACACAATGCTTTTCTTCTCCCTTCAAAGACTGAGCTCAGAAGAAAAGCCCTCACCCCCTCTTCCAACTCGGGGCGCCCCCCCATCACCTTCCACCTGTCCTGAAGCAACATGGGGGGGCGTGGGGGTGGAGCAGGGGGAAGGGATGGGCAGGCAGGGGCTGGGGGCGAGGGACACTCACTCTGCTTTTTGTAAAACTCTTCCCAGGCCTTGCTGTAGTCGGGCTGGCCGCTCTGCGGCTGGCTCTGCTGGCCTGTGTGGAGAGACAAGCGCAGGCGGTCAGTGTCACGGGCCAGGCTGGGGGCCTGAGCGCCTGGCCCGGGCTCCACTTGCCACGCCGTGGACTCCACTTCTTGGGGCCGCCCAGCTGACCTCCGGGACAGGAGGCCGGCAGCCGAGCACCCTGCCCCTGCCGAATTAGGGGAGGGCCTGGTGCCCAGGCAGGTGAGGGGCTGGCAAGGGACCTGGCCGCACCCCTGCCAAGACCTTTGTGCTGTTTGGGGGCCACACCCAGCTGTGTGAAGGGCTGGGGTAACGATCCGGGTTGGCCGCGGGCAAGGCAGACGCCCTCCCTCCAGAGCTGGACGAACACCCTGGCCTGCACCCAGGTGTGTCGCCACGGGCGAGTCACGGGAGCCAAGAGACCCCCGGAACAGAGGAACGGCATGACCCTGAGGGACAGGGGGCAGCAGGTCCTCTGAGCCGGGCACTGCCCGTGGGCACGGGGACCAGGGCCAGCCCTGGCCTGCAGCGAGGTCTCTGTGGGTGGGGCTGGCACGGTGCCCCCTCCGGGGTCTCGAGGACCTCCCTGCAGACACAGGTGCCCGGGCGTGTGTCCACATGTGTCCACACTGGGTGGCTCCAGGCGGTGCTGGAGGGAGGGTAGGGTGGGGAGGGCGCCCTCGAGCACTTACTTGGGGCCTGCTGAGAGGGCGGCTGCCACGGCTGGTAGGTGCTGCCCCAGCCCTGCGTCAGGAAGGCCGGGGGGCCGCTGTGCGGGATGAGAGGGTCACTGTGGGGGTGGGGGCCCCTGCTCCGCCCACCCGTCCGCGCAGCCCCCGCCGAGGACACTGACCTCACAGGGCCGCTGTGCGGGTTCCCGTTCACCTTGGCGGCGAGGCTGGGGAAGCACCCTGAGCTCCGGGCCGGGAAAGTGCTGGAAGGAAGCACAGGGCCGAGCCAGGTGAGGGCCTCCCGGGCCACGGGGGTCACCGGCTGCCCACCCGCCCGCACCTGGGGCCGAGACCACTCACCTGGGGTGGGCAGTGGGCGGCGGGCCGAAGGGGCTCTGTCCAAAGGCGCCTGGAGCTCCAAGACCTGCACCCTGTGGTGGGCACACATGGGCTCTTATGGCTGCTGCTGGCTCCTCTGCCCAGCCCCCGGGGGTCCCTACAGTCTCAGCTAGCTGCCCTCCCTGGGGGCCACGGCACCCCCAGCTGCTCCTGACACCAGCAGGGCTGCCCTGGCGTGTCCCCCGGGGACCGGCCTGCTGGGCCAGGCTATGGCTCTCTGCCTCCATCAACTGTCCCTCCTTTATCTGAAACAAGCCATAGTCGGCGGGCGCTGCCCGGCCAGGCCATCATGGCCCCAGCCGTTCCCCTAAGCCAGCAGGCCCCCGGCCGCTGTCCTGCCCCGGGGCCCTGGGACATACCCCGACTTTCTCGTCGATGAGGTGCCGGGCCACCTCGATCTGCTGGGGCACGCCCCGGATGGTGAAGACGCGTAGGCCGGGGTCAGTGCTGGGGGGCGGGTTCCGCTGCAGCTCCACGTGGGCCCCCGACTGCTGGTTTATGCTCTTGATGTTCTCGCCGCCTGCGGGCGGGCAGCGGGTGTGAGTGGCCGCAGGGTCCAGGGCCCCCACCCGCACAGGAGAGGCGTGTACCCCATCAGTTCTGAAAGTGAGTTGGGTGCGGGGGCAGCCTCCGCCCCACTGCTACAGAAAAGCGTCCGGGAGCCCGCTGGACTGTCCGCAAGTGACTGTCCTGGTGGCTACACACATGGGGGCTCAGCGGCCCGGAAAGGCACCGAGTGAGGGGACCAGGCTTGCAGCGGCCCGCCAGCCCCATCTCCCTCCATGGGTCACATGGCCACGAGCCTGTAACAGCCTGGCTTGTCCCCCCCAAGCCCTTGCCTCCTCCTAGGGGACGGGTCCAGACAGAGGCAGACCAGGAAGGGGTCAGGAGAACTGGGGGAAAGTCGGACTCAGCGACAGTCCCAGTCTCTTAATGAAATTTGCGTAACAAAAGCCCCACGGGGTAACAAAGGTTTGATTCTTCTTTTGAAACATTTCCAGGAACTTACAGACCTGGGGTCTCCCCCAGGACAAGTCTGGGAATGGCACGGTAGGGCTGTGGGCAGCGGAGGGCAAGGCCACGGGCGAGGGCCCATCTCTGGCCTCCTCCCAGTGAGGGCCCCGCCCAGCACCCCCACAGCTAGGGGCTCTGCAGCTGGTGCCCGTTTTCACGGAGAAGGGACCTGCCGGGCTCCAGCCCGAGTCTCGGGGTCTGGGACTCGAGATCCGCCTGGAATTGGATCCGGCTTTAGTTAGGCATCGCCCATCTTGTGCGGGGACAGCAGTGGCCAGCACCACCGCTGGGGGCGTGAGCCCTGCACGCAGCCTCGCTGCCCAGCAACGGCGTTTTAGGGGAGCAAAGCTAAAGCCCAGGACGATGCCCCTCCCTGCACCCCCAGCCTCTGCTTGGGGTCACTTGCTCCGGAGTCAGGAGCACAAAAGGGCGCGTGTGTCTGGGACTGAGAACCCCAGACGTCCCCTTTCCCAGCCTCGGGGCCGTCGAGGGAGCGGGGTGGGAGTGGGGGCGGGGGCCCAGGGGCCGTGTGGGGCCGGAAGGAGTTAATTGAAGTTCATCTTCTTTTAGAATGAGGTCAGCGGCTTGGCACATGGGGGCTGTGTATAGACTCATTCAGCGCTGGCTCCATTCTGCCACCTGATGGGGGACAGAGACAGCCCACCAGCGGCCCCCCGGCTGGACGTGAAATCGTAAAGCAATTAATCAAGGCCACTAAAAGGCCGGCTGACAGGAGCGGGCTGGCCAGGCTATCTGCCCGATGGCCGTGTTTATCATGGAAATCCAGGCCCTGCGTGAGGCTGCTCTCTCTGCCTCGCCTTTCCCAAGGAGACGCGGCTCAGACCGGCCCCCGAGAGCCCCCCAGAGTCCTGGGCTTTTGAGGTGCTCCGGGGGGCCGCCGGGGAGCCCACGCCCACTGTCCTGCCCAGGAGCAAGAGATGGGCGGGTGGCGGAAGCCTCTGCCTCACATGGAGCAGACCTGGGCGTTACCCTTGGATGGTTGGGCGTCCCTCGAGTGCCACCAGGAGCCCCCCTCCAAGAAAAGGGGGTTTCCAGGCCACACCTGGAAGTGCTGGGGGCAACTCGCACAAGGCTGGGTTGGTGCCCGAGTCTGAACAGGGTTGGGTGGCCCCTGGTGCCAGACAGCGGGAATAGGTGGGGAGATGCCGGCAGCAACGGGGCTCAAATGGGCCCACACTGTCCCGAGGGCCTCAGACATGAACTGGGAGGAAATTTTGGAGCGTGAGGCTGCGGCCCGGCCGTCTGTGGACGAGGGGAGCCCAGATCTGCCAAGGGCCCCACGCCGGGCGCAGAGGCCCTCACTCGCACCCGCCTGGCTCACAGCAATGTGGACAGGCCTTGTGCAGAGGCCCTCACCCCCGCCTGCTCGGCACAGCAGTGTGGACAGGCTGCGGCAGGCACCTCCCTTCCTGCTCCCGCAAATAGGCCACACCACCCTGCAGCCACAAGCCGGCTCAGCTACACGGCCCTTAATCGCCTGAGCTCACAGAAGGATTCACCCCACCCCCCTAACACCTCCCCCGCTGTGGGCACCTGCCTGCCCTGCCAGGCTGCAGTGCTGAAGTGCCCTGGAACCAGGGGAGACGAGCACGGCAGCGGCGAGAGCCTCGAAGGTGGCCCTGAGCTCACCTTTGCCGATGACGAGGCCGCACTTGTCGGCGGGCACTGAGTACGTGATCTCCTGCAGGCCCCCGGGCGCACCCATGCTCCAGTCCCCGCGGCTGCGGCCTCGTCCCCGGGCCACCGCCAGGCCCCCGAAGCCGTCTCTCTCCTGGGAACGAGGACAGGACGAATCAGGATTCATCTCCACTGCGCCCACCGGCTCTCCCGGCAGAGAAGGGACAGGCGTCCTCGGCGCCATGCTTGATGCTGGCCCGTCCCCCCAAACAACTGCCGCACAGTGCCCGATGCAATCACCCAGACAGTGTCCAGCAGGCACGTCTGAAATCTGTGGGGCAGCCACACTGGGTGACTTCTGGCTACCTCCATCCAGACCACCTGGGACAATGACTCAGACCCGCTGACTCTGTCCCTAGCAAGGGGTCTCAGGGCACTCTAAAGGCAGGGTGGTCATCCTCTCCTGCCTCCCCCCGCAAAAGCTTGAGGGGTGCAAGCGAGTGAGGCCTTGGTCTGTGGCCTCTGACACCCTCTGGGGTGTTCCCTTACCAGGGTCCACCACAGCCATGGTCGGAGCCCCCGCGTCAGCCTCAGGGGATGCCCGGGAGGAACGGGGAGCGGCAGGGAAGGGAGAAGTGGGTGGGCAGGGGAAGAAGGGCGGGCAGCAAAACCTGCGCGAGGGGACAGCTGAGGGCATGGGAGCGCTTCCTGAGACAGTAACAAGCAAACACAGCAGTCTGGGAAGCTGGGACTCTGTCCGTCTGTCCGTCTCTCCCTCTCTCACTCCATCCCCCCCGCTTTGGGGTAAGCCTTGGACACTGGGGGAGGCTCGTCCCTGTGTCCCGGCTCACGGGTTCCCTCTGACACAGGCAGCCAGAGGCAGAGCGCCCGCCACGAAGGGGCAGACCCGGCCTCCCACGGACCCCCGGCAGACCTGGCCCCCCCCGGGTCCCCGCAGCCCCACCTGCCAAGGCCCGGGAGGAAGAACAACCAGGCCCCTTGGCTGCTCTCCTTAGAGGGTCACCTGTGAGGGGCCCCCAGGAACCCCCAGGCGAATGACAGGCTCCTGGTGCAGACCTCATGTCTGGAGACAGGTGGCAGCCTGGGCTCAGTGTCGCCTCTGGCTTCTGGCAGCAGCCCCCCATTCTGAGCCCTCCACCTGGGGTCCCCCAACAGCCTCGGGTCTGAGTCCTCCACCGGGGGTCCCCGAGCAGGACGCGCTGCAGCTATGAGCAGGGGGACCACACGTGCAATTCTGATTCTCGGCGACCCACACGGTGTTTAGCCGGAGTCTGAACAGAAAACCGGCGGGTGTGGGTACGGGCGGCACGAGCGCTGGACTCTGGACAGAGGTGGCCAGAGCACCGGGCCCCGTCCCCAGGGCCAGGGCTCGACCCACCTGAGCTGTAAGGATGAGCTCGCTGATGACGTGCGCCGCGTGCTGACACCGGTCGGGGGGGCCCATGACCTGGGCAGCCCTCTCCGGACTGATCCCGTCATCTGCGGAACGAGAAGGGGGTGAGGGGAACTTCAGGAGGAAGACAGGCCAGGCCGGGGTGCGAGCCACAGCCCTGACGGGGCCAGGAGGGACTGGCACGGCCACGCCACACCCGCTGCTCTGGCAGCGCCGGCCATGAGAAAGGATGCGACAGAGTGGGCGGGGAGAGGCCAGGAAGCATTGGGCTCCGGCACGGTGCTCGGTTCGAACCGGCATAGCCGTCCAGCTTGAGAGGAGGAAGAGAGGACGACATGAAATAACCCTCCGCCAATCTAGGGAAGCCGTGGAATCCTCGGGAATCTGCTTCATACTAAAGTGGCTTTGTTAAGGGGTCAGGTCACACCCAGCAGCGCGGGCTCACTCCTTGGCTCGGGGTACGAGGTACGCTTGGTTTGTTGTTGGAGAATACCGGGCAAGCTCCATGTGCTTCTGAGGAGGTGGCGTGTCCTCAGAAACCAGCACCAGAGAAGCAAGGCTGGGGAAGGGAAGCGATGCTGGGGGTCAAAATGGAACGGCCACACGCCGGCAAGTGCCTGCTGCCGGGCTGTCTCTCGGGATGCATCTTTGAGTGTTTGCACGAGAGCTGGCATTGGCTGGGTGTGTGGGTGCAGATGCCATAAGGTGCTGAGGACGGCAGCTGGGGTGCTGCATGCAAAGCATGAATTCCAGCCCTTTCTACATCCCCCTGGCTCTGACTTTACTTGAATAAACAGGGGCTGGAACGACAGTCCAGCAGGGAGGGCGCTTTGAATGTGGACAACCCGGGTTCAACCCCCGGCAACCCATATAGTCCCCTGAGCACCACCACAAATAATTCCTGCGTGCAGAGCCAGGAGGAACCCCTGAGCATCGCTGCCGGGTGTGCCCCGCCCCCATAAACAAAAATAGGGGTCACCCTGGTTCTACTCAGCCAATCTGTCCCTTTGAATGGTCGACAGGTTTGCTTTTGCCGCGGCTGAAGTCCAGAGGGTTGGGTTCCTCAGGAAGAAAAGCACCCATTGGGGGCTAGAGCAACAGTCCAGCGGGTAGGGCGTTTGCCTTGCATGCGGCGAACCCGGGTTCGATTCCCGGCATCCCATTAGGGTCCCCTGAACACCGCCAGGAGTGATCCCTGAGTGCAGAGCCAGGAGTGACCCCTGAGCATCTCTGGGTGTGACCCGAAAAGAAATAAAGAAAGAAAAGCCCCCGCTGTACCAAGGCGCTTCCTCTGGGTCTTCACTGCCCCGTGACGGCATCTTCGTTCTCTTTTGGAGCCACTCCCAACAGTGCTCAGTGTGGTCCCTGGCTCTGAGCTCAGGGCTACTCCTGGCAGAGAGCTGGGGGGCCCTGTGGGGGGCTGGGGATGGAACCCAGGTTGGCCGTGTACGAGGTCAGTGTCCCCCTGCCGCCCGCCACTGGACAGCTCCCGCCCAGCCACATGGTCCTGGAGCATCTTTAGTCTTAAGCTGAAGTAGCAGGCAGTGGTTTTTTTTTTTTGGGGGGGGGGTGGGAGGCTCCCAGAATTGCTCTATGGATCTGGGCCACTCTGGGTGACACTCAGCCAACTAAGGGGCCCCAGGAGGTGCCGGGGGCCACCCTCAGCAAGGAGGGGTGCGGGGTGCGGCTGCGGGGCTGGAGCTTGCTTTGGCCACTCAGTCACCCCACTGGCACCAGAGATTTGTTAACAAAAATTCAAAATAATGGAAACTAAAAGTGCCATGTTGGTTGTCCTGATGCTGTTGGCCGCGCAAAGGGAGGCGGGTGGCCGGCTGGGCCGAGGCCTAAGGCCTGAGAGCGGCCGGGGACCAACCTGGCTTGAACTGGATCCTTACTCCCGCGTCGTTCTGGATCTTCTTGATCATTTCCCCATTTCTTCCGATGACGATCCCAACAGCAAACCTGGGCACTGACACCTGAGCAGAGAGACGTCCCCTCAGAGAACCGCGCACACCCGCCTGAGTTCCGGGAGACCCAGGGGACACGCACACACGCGCTACATGCATGTCACACGCACATTTTCTTATGCACACATTAAGACGCTCTCACGTGTTTATTCTCAGGAATCACACACTTCAGAGAGGAAGTATAGTTTTTCCTATTAGGAAAAATGATTTATTGATGGCTTATCCACCCCGATTCTGATAGTGGTTAAACGACTGTAATACTATAAAGGACATTCGATAAACCTCGGGTGTGACCAAACAGCTCGGGAAGCGATCCTAACGGTGCCATATTCCAGACCGAGAGCCCGTCAGAAAGTTGTTTTTGGGGCACACACCCAGCGGTGCTCAGGGGATCATAAAAGGTGCTGGGATTCGAACCCTGGCACAAGCCAGTGCCTCACCTCTGGACACTCTCTCCAGGACCAGCCTTCCTTTTAATTTTCCTCTGCTTTTTTGGGTCACACCCAGCGACGCTCAGGGCTTGCCCCTGGCTCTGTGCTCAGGAATCACTCCTGGTGGTGCTCGGGGGACGTTATGGGATGCCGGGGACTGACCCTGGGTTGGCGCCTGCAAGGCAGAAGCTCTCCCCGCTGTGCTGTTGCTCAGCGCCCCCCTTCGTCTCAGTCCTTGGTAAATACACTTCAGTGGCACTGAGTGAGCTCAGCGCTATACCCGCTGCCAGCTGTGCCCCGGCCTCTCCCTGCCCCCTGGGGTCCTATCTTCCTATGGCACTGGTGGGCCCGCTCTCCTGCGAGCGCCCACAGCCCCCTCTTGTCCTTCAGACAGACGGGAAGGACAGGCCGCGGCGTCTGCCAACACCCGCTTCAGAAGCCGCGTGGCCCCGGGGGTCGGGCAGGCTCAACTCTTCAGCTCTCGCTCCAGCCCAGGCCCCAGGCTCCAGCCCATTCTACCTCCTTCCAGAGGCTTCCGAGCTTGAGGCCAGCAGCTGCCGCCCAGATCACCGAGTAAACCTGGACGGGGTCTGCCTGGCCAGCGGGCCTCATGGGGAGCCCTGAGGCAGCGCTGGAGATGAGACCGGTGGCATGCGGCCGTACCTCTATGCTGCCCGTGCCCATCCGGGAGCTGAAGTCGCGCACGCCTCGGAAGTCGGCCTGGTCCTTCTCCCGGATGATCTCTAACACCATCTCCCGCGCTTGCTGCGAACAGAAGGTTGTTATGGAACAAACGCCGGAACAGACTCGAGACAGCAGAGGGATGACGCCTGGCCTGGGCCCAGAGAGGACAGGGAGACGATGCCCGGACTAGACTGAGAGGGGCCGGGGGGACGACGCCCAGACACTCTCTGCTCAGCCTTGATGCCGGGGCCACGTGAGGGAGAGCCCCAGGCCCATGGGAGGCGTGACGGGCAGTCTTGCTGCCTACAGCTGAAGAAAAGAGGCCACTGAGCCACCGACCCTCACTCCCATCTTAGAAACTCTTTTTACTGGTGGGACCTGACACAGCCAGCGGCATCTCAACGTGTGTGCAGCTACAATACGGAGGAGCGCTGGGGAGTGTTTCCTCAGAGATGGGAGAGACCCCCTGGAGCAAGGAACGGCAGGCAGTGCAGCTGGATGGCAGAGACAAGAGCGTTTGGGACCTAGAGAGGGGCGGGCGAGGGCCCAGCACTGTCAACTGCCAGCCAGAGCCCCTCATCACCTCCTCCCAGGAGCGGGCCTCGGGGCCGACCCTCTGACCCCCCCAGGGCCCTGCCGGTTACCAGGTGGCCTGACACCAGCAGCAACCCCTTGGTCTGAGGGAAAGGCGCACCCTGTCACCGAGCCGCACCCCTGGGGTCACTTTCCTTCTCTCCCACTGCGGTGCCAAGGATCACGCGAACCCAGGGCCGTGGTTGGGCCAAGTACGGGCTCTACCGCTAAGCCAGCTGCCTGGCTCCATCATTTCTTTTCTTTTCTACTCCTTTTGCTTTTCGGGTCATACTTGTTACTCCTGGCTCTGCCCTCAGGAATTACTCCTGGCGGTGATAAGGGATCATATGAGATGCTGGGAATCGAACCCGGGTCGGTTGCATGCAAGGCAAATGCCCTACCCACTGTACTATTGCTCCAGCCCCTCTTTTTCACTTTTAATGGACATTTTGGAGGGAGCCGCACCCAGTGATGCTCAGGGCTAACTCCTGAAGGGCTTGGGGGACCCTAAGGGGTGTCAAGTGCTTGGTCGGCTGCATGTGAGGGAAGCACCTCCCGCTCCCACCAAAGGCCCAGAGGGGACAGGGGGACGATGCCTGGCCCAGGCCCACCATTTGTGACGGTCCCATAAATGCCGGCCAGGCGAGGCCTGCAGACCAGCCCCGGGCGCCCTACCTGGACCTTGAACGGGTCTCCGGTGATGCGAAGCGGCTTGTCTGCTCCCGTGGGCAACGGGCCGTCCTGGATCATGACCATTTTCACTCCCGTCCGCTCCTGTGGGCACAGGCACATGGGCCTCAGCAGCGAGGCACAAGCTGTGCAGGGTTGTGTGGCCCCTCCCCCACAGCGCACACAGGTGGGCCGAAGCCGGAACGCGCTTCCCTGGGCCCCCTCTTGGTCCGGGGGCACCAGGGGGTCAGCGCTGACTCATCCATGGTCTGCACCTGGTCGGGCACTGGTGCCACAATCTCTGCTCAGAGAGGAGCACAGCAAGGAGAGGGAAGCACCCGACTCCCATGCCAGAGGGGAGCACGGGAGCATCTACCCCGCATTCCAGGTGAAGGGGATGCTTCGGAGGAGCACCCAGGCCCTGGCGTGGAGCAATTCCAGGCGCATGGGTGAGCCCCCCGAGAGGTCACCCTGCCCGCAGTCAATCTCTGGAGTAACTGGGCAGCAGGCAGGGGCCAGTGCAGGAGACAGGCACTGACTGGCACGGGCCCCTGGAGTGTCCCCGACTCCGGCCTAAGCATACCCCCCACCAAGAGGGGTGCCGCTGGCTCGCCGCAGAGCAACGCAGACGCACGCGGGCGGGCTCACACACCTGCAGCTGCTTTATCGTCTCCCCTCCTTTGCCGATGACCAGGCCCACTTTGGACGCGGGGATGAGAAGCTCCTGGACCGTGCTGCCGGCGTCCACGTCGCTGTGGAAGCCGGGCCCGTTGCGGCAGCGCTCCACGATCTGTCCCAAGAGCCGCTTGGCTTGTCTTGAGAGGGGGAAGAGAAGCAAGAGACGCGGCGTCAGGGGGATGCCAGACCCCGCGGGGACACTGGGGCGCCGCCAGCCAGCGCCGGCCCTGGCCCCGAGGCCTCTGCCATCCTCCATGGCCGGCTGGAAGTGAAACGCCGCACGCCCCGCAGTGGCGCCCCCACATGGACGGAACCTGGAGGAGGGCACCGTCGGGCCTGGGGCCACCTCCGACCCGCGGGCACGGGATCCAGTCCTGCAGGCCACACCCACCAGCTCCAGCACAGTGAGGGCGGGGAGAGAAGACAGACAGAGACAGGAAGCAAGCGAGCCCCGTGTGCACCCCGACCCCACAGGCCACCTCGGTGGCCACGCTGGCCGCTGCCTGACTTTTCGCCGCCTGACTTCTCAGCCAGGTCTGTAGGGCCGAGCCAGGCCGGGCCGAGGCGGTGCAGTTCCGCAGCCCAGTGCACCTGCTCTGTTTCACATGTCAGATCTCCCGGCTCCCGCATCTCAGGTTTTAGTTGGTTAGACTGGACGAGGCCGGAGCTGGGGTCGCCTGGGTCTGTGTGCGGGGTGCAGTGGAGGCAGCCCCCAGCCTAGTGCTGTCACCTGCCAGGGGCCATGTCCCTTTTCTGCACCAGAATCTCTCCTGCCGCTCCCTGCAGTTTGTTCAGCCCCCTGAGCAGGTGTGGCCAGGCCCCAGGCCAGCACACTACAGCTCACGGAGAGCCCTCAAGCCCGCAGCCCGTTGGTCTGACTCCCTGGTAGAACGGGAAGCAGGAAGGGTTAGGAGCGGAAGAAGGAAGAGGAGACGGGCAGGAAGCCGGGTCTGCACGGGCCCAGCATCCCCTCGGTCCTGGCCACTCTCTGCTTGCCTTTGAGATGACCAGCCTTGGGAAGGAAAGGTCGGGCCCGGCTGGACCCCCCGCCTGCCCGGAGCGTGCACCTGCTGCGGGGGCTACTTGGCGTCGCTGGCCGCAGTGTTGTGGCAGAACAAGAGCAAACGCCTCAAGATGCCCCGAAAAATGGAAACGAGGAAACAGCATGACCCGGCAGGTCTGCAAGTTCCGGGTGACACGGCCAGACCTTGCCCAGGAGCCGGGACCTGCCTGGGGGCGCAGGCCCTGCGGGGAGCCAAGCGACTGTTGCCAGGCGCCCCCCAAAAGCCGAGGTGCCTTCTGTTCCAGGCATTGGGCCTTGGAGAAGAGTGACAGTCGGGAAAGGGCTGTGTGGCCCACAGACCTCAGAAGCGCAAAGGGCTGAGCTCCGGGCCAGGAGCAGCTCAGGGTGCCCGCCAGTCCCCCGGCGCTGGCTGCCCAGAGCAGGCTGGTTAGTGCCCTGGCCGGTAACAGGAGACGGCGGCTCCGAGGCACCCCCGGGTGGGGCCAGGTGCCACAGGTTTGAAAAAACTGCTGACCCAGGGCCGGGGCCGGAGATCCGTAGGCACCGGCCTCCCTGTCGGCCTCAGCACTGCTTGCAGAGCTCCTGGGCACAGGCCCTTCCGGTGCTCCCCATCTGGGGAAGGAGGAGGAAGAGAGAAAGGGAAAAGTAAATAAAGGAAACTTACTCAATACTTTCTGGGGTTCCGGTAAGTACACAGGGCCTCTCTGGAATCCCAGAACTCTCTATAAGAAGAACCAAGAAGACGACGGGTGTTGGCGTGCGGCCTCGGGGGCGTCCACGCCGGCCTGCGGAGGCCCCAGGCTCCCACAAAAAAAGACTCGTTTCCGCTCGAGGAGAGACTCGGAAGCCCAGGTGCCCACAGCAGACACAGTCCCGCTGGGCCCAGGTCCGAGCGAACCCTGAGTATGGGGTCACCCAACTGAGTGCACGGCAGGATTGTCCGCAGGCCACTGGCTCCCCAGAGACCAGGGGGAAATCGTTCTCTGCAACATGTGTGATGCTGATTTTGCTCCTTAAAAAGTTTCTTATGCTGGGGGGGAGGGCGGGTAACACAAAGAGAAAGAGGCACCAGTAGTTACTGTGTTCGAGACGCGGGAAAGGACACTAGAGTGGCCTTTCTCCATGTCTTTCTCCACCAAAGACCCTCCTCCACTCACGGAGGGGGGCAGCCTCGAACAGGATGATAAAAATAAAACCACAACAAAATACACCATCTCCCGTCAACTCTCGTCTCCCACGGCCCCGGCCGGGAACGGCTGCGGGCTGACCCCTTGTGGGTCTCTCTCCACGCAGGGCTGGGGGCGGGCAGACGCCATCAGGAGTCCCAGGGCCCCAGGACTCCTCCGGGCGCCACGTGTCTGCTGTGACATTCTGGTGCAGAAAACAGAGGGGCCTCGAGAGCGGGGGTGCAGAGGGCGGGGCCCCGGGCCTCCTGCAGGGTCCCCTGGGAGCCCAGGGCTTGGTCCTGACCCAAGGCCTCACCTCTCTGCTCCTGTCAGTTCCAGCCACACCCGGCTGTGCTCAGGGCTAACTCCCGGCAGGCTCGGGGGGATCGAAAGTGGTGCCGGGGATCCCCGGCTGGCCACGTGCAAGGCAAGTGCCCTCCCCACGGCACGATCCTCCCGGCCCCAAGGCGCCAACTCCTGAGCAACAAGCAAAGCGACTGCGTGGAGGAGCGGCCCGGCCCCCACTGTCCTCCGGCACCCGGGACCTGCAGGTTGGGGGCGGGGTGGTCACTTACCTGAAGCTATCTGAATTTTGCAACCAGATTCTGCTTGAATCCGTGAGATCTGCTCACCTCCCCTGCCAATAACTGAAACACAGTGAAGGGGGTCAGGGCGACTTCCACACCCACCTGCTCCCCCTCCCCCGCCCCGGGGAGGGGCACATGCACGCATTCACAGGTGCGGTGCACTCTGGGCTCAAAGCGTTTCAGGGTTTGGGGGTGAGGGGGTGTGCGGCCCACCCGGCGCTGTAGCCCCCTCTGCCCGAAGACACCTCCCCTGATGGGGGCGCTAGTGAGGCCGGCGTGCAAAGCGTTCCACACGGGGGACTTGCAGAGAGAGGCCATGCACGGGGCAGGCGGGGAGCGGGGGAGGAGGTGGGGTACTTACTAAAGCCAACCATTTTATCAGGTACTTTGAATTCTTCTGTGATTACTGCCCTGAAAACAAAGAACACTGTGTGTGTGGGGAGAAACGCAAGGTAGAGAATCCCGCCGGGCGATAGGACCGTGGGTGTTTGCCTCACATGCAGCCGACCTGGGCTCAGTTATCTGTATGGTCCCCCAGGAGTGATTCCTGAGCACAGAGCCAGGAGGAAGACCTGAGCATCGCGGGGTGTGAACCCCCCCCCAAATAAAAAGGAAAGAAAAAAGCAAAACAGAATCCTGTGGCCGCTCCACAGACCCCCGTGCCCGGGCTGAAGGATGACCGTGAAAACACCCCATGTCCAGGGGAAGGCGGGAGCACCCACAGACCCCTACCCCCTCGGGGTGCTGAAGGGTCAGCGCCATCCTGTCCTGCTGGTCTCCCACTGCCCTTCGTCTCCTCCCTCAGACCCTGTCCCCAGACGACTCCGACAGAATAATGACCAGCCCCCTGATGTCCTCTCTGGCGAATGGACCATCAGCTCCGGGACACGCAGCCTCGGGGGGTCTGGGAGTTGTGTGGGTTTGATCGCGGCGTCCACCCACCCAGCCCCCGCCCCTCCCTCGGCCTGACTGCTCTCCACACTCTCTCCTCGCATCTTGGCTCTGAAGCAGAGATGCTCCAAAGGGGGCCAGTGTCCAGCCGAGGCCTGGCCACTGCTGCCCAGGACAGAGCCGAGCGTTCCCTCCCTCTGCGGGAGCCTCTAGCAAATGCAATTCCGTCCGCCCTCACTGGCCACCCGTCGGCTGCCGGAGACCGGCTGGCACAAGCGCCCCAGCCCACGGGCCCCCTTCTGGGCCTGGGCTCTCGGGCCTTTTCCACCAGCCTGGCTAGTGTGCTGTGGGCCTCACAGCCCCCTCTTCCCAACACCCTAGGAAGCAATTACATCCGAAGTGTTTATTTACCTTAGGACAAAGCTCAAAGCAAATCACTCCTCCCCTAAAATAAATCAGCTTTTCTGGTTTGCTCTGGGGCCACGCCCGGCACTGTGCAGGGGAGGGCGGTGCCAAGGATTCCAAGTGGGCGCAAGGGGCCGGAGGGACAACATGGAGGGCACTTGTCCTGCAGGCAGCTGACCAGGGTTCAACCCCCGACACCCCATATGGTTCGCCGAGCCCTCCAGGGCTGATCCCTGAGCACAGAGCCAGGAGTCAGCCCTGAGCACCGCCAGGCATGGCCACGTGGGAAGCAAGTGTCCCCCCTGCCATGCGCTCCTCCGCCGCCAAAGGCGAGCACTGGGGACCCTCTGTTGAGGGGGGTCAGCTGTCCCGAGGGGGCAGGGTGAGCCGAACAGCCCTCAGGGGGTGCACGGGGTGGGGTCTCGCCCTCTGAGGTGGCTGCAGCCCGTTCTCAGACGCCAGTGCAGGGCGCCTGCATGTGGACACCACCTCCTTGGGAGCCTGTTCTGGGGAACCTGCTAGAAGGACAGCCACACCCCCCCAATCAGGGCAGCTCTCCACCCCAGCGCAGGCCGAGGCCTGTGTGGACAGAGGCAGCAGAGCCAGGGCAATGCAGGAGAGCGTTAGAGACAAGCGTGGCCTCGAGTGTGGTCTAACTCAGTAAACAGGAAACGGCTGGGCCAGAGTGAGAGGCCAGCGGGGAGGGCGTTTGTCTTGTACTCAGCCGACCCGAGTTCAATTCCCAGCATCCCAAATGGTCCCCCGAGCACTTCCAGGAGTGATTCCTGAGTCCAGAGCCAGGAGTAAGCCCTGAGCATCGCCGGGTGTGACCCCAAAAGCCCAAATAAAAAAAAAATAACAGCAAAGTCTTGGCCACCTCACACATGAACTGCCTCACACTTGACTGCTTCTCGGCTACAGGGTGGGTCCGGGCTGCCACAGACAGGCCTCTTGCCTCTCCAGCAAGAGAGCAGTGCCCAGAAGCTTCTATTTTTTTTTTGGGGGGGGGGGTTAGGGGGAAATCCCACCCCTGCCTATGCTCAGGGGGTCATAGGGGGTGTCTGGGAGAGAACCAGGCCAGCACCCCTCCACACACACACAGTCTCTCTCCCCGCCCCCCCTCCCCCCCGCCCAAGCCCCACCAGGAAGTACTCATGAGCAGAGCCAGAAAACCACAACAAATAAACTCAGGTCATTGGGGTGCTAAATCCTCATTACTTAAGGAAATGCAGGGAGGGGAAACTGAGGCAGATTTATCAAGGTTCTTTGGGACATCCCCTCACGTCCTACTGGGTCAGCCTGCTTGCAGGTGGGAGACCAGGCTTCACGGCAGGCCAGGAGGCCCCTGGAGCCGGGCGGGAGGTGACCCCCTCTGCACAGGGGGGCAGCGGGCAGCTGTGAGAGTCTGGGCACGGGGCAGGTTTCCAGGCCCAGGCTGGGCACCGTCCAGCCCCGAGCTGAGCTCTGGCCGCCTTGGAAAAGGGGCAACAGACACTCGCGTCTCCGAGATCTCTCTCGCCCACGGCTCTTCACACCTCCCACCTCTGACTTTCGAGCGCTCTCGTACAGATGGTGGATCAATAAACAATTAGAAATGATCAATAAATAATAAAACATAACCCACTGCTTACCTTTGATGTACCAAGGCCCCTAACTGGTTACCTACTGTGGCAAAGAGAAAGAGAAAAGAAAAATCAAAGCATTAGCACGGATAAACTAACTTCATCCTCACAAGAGTCCTTCCCGGGGCCGGGAAGAAAGGCAGGCGGAAGGCAGGCGAACGGCAATTTAGGCTCAGTGGCTGAGATGAATGCGTTATGTGATACGAAGCAGGAGGGGACGGCGCGCGCGAGCGGCCGGCGCCGGCCCACTGTCCAGCTGAACACAGGATAAGAAATTGATCCGTGTGTCCGCACGCTGAGAGGCCCTGGGAGGAAATCCCGCTGCCCGCACCCCTCCCGCCCCCTCCCTGCCCAGCCTGCAAGGGCTTTGAGCGAGCGAGGCTCCCTCTCTCTTTCTCAAACAAATGAGCAGGTCTCAGCAGCTTTGTGCAGGGCTGCTCCCGCAGCTGCGGCTCCCGGCACATATGTCCTTGCCAGCCCCCTGCCCCTCCCCTCCCTATCTGCCACCCGGGGTTCAAACCTGCAGCCCCCAGGCCCCCCTCGGGAGCAGGCAGTAATAGCAGGGGCGCTGGGGACGAGCATTTTGAGGGGCGACCGGCGGGCGCCACCCAACTGCTGTGGCACTGCCACCAAACCACTCTGGCTCCCAGTCCCTCTCCCAGTGACCGGCTCCTTCCCCAGCCAGCAGCAAGAACGGGCCGCGGTGCTTCTCTGGTGCTTCTCTTCTGGAAAGCGCGGAGGAGCAGAGAAAGGCCTGATGTGGGAAGAGCCAAGGGCCTCGGGGAGGTGCGGGGCGAGGGCCCCGCCGACCTGGTGACTCTCTTCCACTCCAACTCAACCCGCGACCGAACGTGGAAGGCAGATGGTGCCTGGGAGGCAGCGGCGCAGATAGCAGGTTTCGGCGGCATCGCGGCGCATCTGATCGATAGCCAGGGAGCGCCTGCAGCCCAACACTGCCGCCACGTTGCCCGTCTTGAAAGAAGACGCTCGCGTGCACGACCGCCTGAAATGGTCCCTTTGTGTTCATGCAGCCTGGACCGAGAGGCGCTACACCAGGTGTGCGAGCCCGGGTGTGTGAACACTGGAGCGAGAATCCAGGACCAAAAGTCTGGATGTGTGAGCACTGGGGCAGGAGTCCAGGACCAAAAGCCAGGACTGTGAGCACGCACAGGGCCCCAGCAGAGCGTGGCCATCAGCAGCACAGGCCCCCAAACTCCCCCCAGGTGTGGGGGATGTGACCTCCCCTGTCACTGCCCGCTCGGGCTGATGCTGTCACTGCAGACAGGAAACACGAGTGGCGGGGTGAGAAGACTGTGGGCCTGGGCCTGAGCGGGGAGAGGCCAGAGATGAACGGTCTGGGCAGCCCCAGAAACCAGGCAAGGGCAGCCGGGTACAGATGAGCACAGGCCGCAGGAAGTCTGGGCCGGCCGCACACTGGCAGCCCTGGACAGCAGTGTCCCTGCCGCCCTCCCTGTGCCAGTCCTGAGCCAAGGCTAAAGGCAGCACTGAGGGCTCTGTCCCTCTGACAACAGCCTGGTTTGGCGCCTGTGAAAGCCAAGGGCAGCGGAGAAGGGGTGCTGGGCTGAGGCAGTGCCAACCCAGAGCGGGTGTCCGGGCCCTCACGCGAAGGGCCTGGGAGGGCGGCCAGCGGCAAACACCTTTCAGGTCCAATTGGACGCTAACTACCGTCATTTTACCGTGAAGTGAAAAACGCTAACTAAAATCCGATCCACTTGCCCTCAGTGGCGCCTACTGGTGGCCCAGGCTGCACCTGGCCCCAAGGCACGCTACAGCTCCAGGCGAAGGCAGGCGCAGACACTCACACCCGGATGAGGCTCCGCACACAGCGCCTGCCTGGCCCCATGAACCCGAAGCCACAGGTCAGGGGACAAGCTGCTTGTCGCCAGCATTTGGCTGCAGAAGCCACACTCTGCGGGTCTCAGGAGGGCGTCAGCCCCACAACTATGAGGAAAAGTCTTCACCCCCTCCCCCAAGAAGCTCACCAACTACCTGTCACCGTGTCCAAGGTCACACGCTGCAGCGAGAGACAGGGGCCCCGGCCGCTCAGAATGCATGCAGCTGCAGCTGCAGGGCTCAGTGGTGGCCAGACAAAGGGCAGAGCTGACCTGCGCCCACAGGTCTGAGAAGCACCTGCCGAGCCCTGGACGAACCCAGGTCCCTGCCAGCCCGGCTACGGCCAGCGGGACAGCCACGCGGCAGGGCGGGGATTTCGGCAATCTGCAGAGTTTTTAAAAAGCTTCTCTGAGCCCCAGGACAGCACAAAGGCTCCCAGTGTTCCGGGCTGCAGAACGCTGAGCAAGGCACAAAGTCCGAGGGCCGCGGGTGGGCAGCAGAGGGGGGCCGGAGACCAGGCCTGCCCCAGGTGAGAGGGAGTTCAACCCCCACAAGGGGCCTTTCTGGGGCGGCCAGCAGGAGCCCCGGGTATGACCCTCCCCATGTCCAGTGCAGGCCCAAGGACTAACCCAGCGACGCCGGAGTGAAACGAGGTGGGGGGATGAGCTGAGGGGCCGCGTGTCTTACTCAGGCCAGGGCCTCAGACCCACCGCACAGCAGGTAAAGCACTTGCACTGCACACGACTGGCCTGAGGTTGGTCCCTGACACCTTAGAGGGTCCCCAGCCTGGCCAGGAGGGATCCCTGAGCAGAGCCAGGAGTCAGCCCTGAGCATGGCCAGGTGTGCCCCCCCCCCCCCCCCAAATGGACTGATGTTTAGCAAAACAGAAAGAAGTGGAGGGGACGTGGTGGGACGGCAGGTGCTCAGCACGGGCAGGGTTGGGGAGGAGGCCAGGGCTAACCGCACCCCCCCCCCCCCCCCGGAGTCCAAGCAACAGGGAAAAGAGCTCAAGCTCTGAAAAGCAGCTGCGACGCGCAGGCATCAGAGGATGAGGGGTGTGTGTCGGCTCCTGCCAGTCTCCCGCACTTGAACGCAGTGTATGAACGAGTTCTGGCGGAGCTCAGAGCATCCCTCATACCAGCGCCTAAAGCCGGGAGATGCTGTATGGTGCCCCAAAGCCCCCTAGGAGGCCAGTCCTGCCACTCGGCCAGCAGAGTGAGACAGACCAGGCAGCAACCGGCTCGGGCCAGGGTCCAGCCTGTGGGGCCGGGGTGGGGGTGAGGGTGCCCATGGCACTTTCTCGTGCCTTCCCCTACAGGGCTGCAGTGGCCATGAGCTTTGGGGATTGGGCTGGCCTCAAGAGGCCCTGGGGTGCTCACGGGTGGAAGTTTGGTCCTTTCACCGCTGAGGACAGTCTGTGGCTGGGCACGCCATGGGATTTTGGTCTGCAGCTCTGGGCAGGCAGGTGCCGGGGCGAAGTTCTGTTCACTCCCACCACAGAGATGCTTTCGCAAAGCTCCTCAGGGGCTCCTACCCCCCACCCCCACCCCATGGAACCCTCGAACTCAGTGACGATCACAAGCCCCAGTGAGCTCACGGCTTGGTTGGGCCAAGGTTGCACATGCCAGCCAGATCAGACGTCCAAGGGACAGAGGGGGGGCAGAGCCCATCCTGCCTGGCCCCAGAGGGGACCTGCCAGCCATGCGGTGCGGGGCGGGCCGGGCTAGGGCAGGGGCGAGTCCCCGCGCAGACCGGGCTCTCTCCATCGCAGGGAAGGGCTGGAACAGGGCTGCTCCGAGTCGACCCACACCCACCGAGTCCCCCAGCCCATGCTCAGCCGTGCCCCGACCCACAAAGGCTCAGCATCCTCGTTCCCACACAGAAACGCTGCCCTGGCAGGCGCTGGCCCTCTCTGATCCTTGGCCACCAGAAGCAGAGCCGAAGCAGGAAAGGACCAGAACTCGGGGTGTGTCCCCCCAGAGGAGCAGCCCTCTACAGGGGGCCTCTTGCCAACACTGGGACAGGCCCCTAGTCTCTAGGGCGAGTGCTGAGGGCTCCTGGGTGGTCTTTTGCACTTCTGGGCCACCCTTGGCACTGCCGGAGTGGACCGGGGTCAGTGGAAGTGGCTGCATCTGGCTGGGCGGCATTCCAGCCCTTGCGCCATCCCTTTGGCCTTCGAGGGGCAGTGCTGTCCACCAGGCAGCGCTTCCTCCACCCTGATTCTGATGACTGTGGCCGCCTCCACCTGCAGACACGCAGGGCCTGGGAGCAGGAAGGAGGGGAGGGGCAGGATGTAGCCCTGGGGGCAGGGGGAGGGGAGGGCCAGACAGCGGTGCTGGGAGGTGCTGGAAGAGCCTCGCTGGCCACTGGAGCAGAGTGCGGGGTGTGCGCCAAGGGGGGAAGACGGGGAATGGGAGCTGGAAGGGGAGAAAGGGGCTGAGGGAGAATGGGGTGGGCGGCCACTGTGCGGGCCTGGAGCGTCCAGCAGTGTCCAGCCTGGATGCCCATGGGGGGCTGGGGCAGGAACATGCCTCAGGAAGCGGAGAGCAGCCAGGGCCCAGCCTCCATATGGGGCCAGTGAGCGAGCAAGGCAGGCAGGGCTGCGGGGAGAGGGGACGCCGCTACAGGCCCCAGTGAGGGAACAAGATCTGGACGGGGCCGAGAAGGAGGTGCAGCTGGGATCTGCAGGCAGAGCACAGGAGGGCACACAGCACCTGAGGGCCCCCACCCTCCCATTCACTCAAAGTTGAGTGACAGGGGCTAGAGTGATAGTATAGCAGGTAGGGCGTTTGCCTTGCACGTGGCTGACCCGGGTTTGATTCCCAGCATCCCATAGGGTCCCCTGAGCACCGCCAGGAGTAATTCCTGAGTGCAAAGCCAGGAGTAACCCGTTTGCATTGCCGGGTATGACCCAAAAAGCAAAAAAAAAAAAAAAAAAAAAAAAAAAAAAAAACCCAAAAAACAAAGCTGACCGGCAAACCGCAGTGCCCCGAAAGGACGCTGGGAAGAAGCATTCGTAAACAGACCCTGGCCACCCAGCCCCCCGCCCCTGCCACAGCTCCTGGGAGGCTCAGGAACTCATGCCACCCGAGAATGGGAGCCAGGTCAGATAGCCAACATCTGAGGGAGCCTCTGGCCCCCGCCCAAGAACAGCTGCACAGACCTACTCTGGGCCAGGGCAGCACGGGGAGGAGCCTCAGAGCTGGGTCCTAAGGGGGCTGGGCAGGAGCAGGGGCCCAGGGTCAGAGGGCACCACAGGCCCCACCTCCAGGTTCCCAGACTCAGAGCGAAAGCTGAGTCCCCCAAACGCTGACATGCAAGAAGTCACACTTCTCCCGAAAGGAAGCCCCAATGGCCACTGCAGGGGGGTGGATGGGCTCCCCAAGGACACCCAGGTACGTGCTGTGAAACTGGCCGGTCCCCCCACGCACCCACCGCCTCGCTTGTGCTTCCGAACGGGGTGCATAGAGGACCGAGGGAAATGCCGCACTCTGCCATGGACTTTCAGGCTACGAGCAAAGGACAGGCCATCACTTGGGGACACATTTTTCCCAGGCACCAGAGTGATGCCTGCAGCAGCACCTCGTATCCAGCCCAGCGTTGTGGGCACAGAAGCCGGGCCGGCTGACGGGGGCACCCGGACAGACGCAGAGGCCCTGCCACCCAGGGGCCAGCAGGTACCTCTGCCCACTTGTATTCCCAAGGTCCTGGGACAGATTTCCTGCGAGGGATCCTACACCATAGTTTTCAGAAGTGGACAAGAACAGGGTCAGAAGGGGACCGAAGAGTGAGTGTACATGGTGTGTGATTGAGCCCCGGCATGCACCATCCCCCAGCACCTCCAGGCGAGGGCCAGGAAATCAGAAACGCAAAACAGGATTTTAAAAAGAACTTACTATAAATGAACGTTGCGCCTGTCAAACTCTACAAAGTTTCACACTTCCAAACCACCACCCGCGCGAACGCTGAATGCCGGGGGCCGAGAAAGCAACGGCATCACACCGATTCCTTCTCTGTTTGGAACAGCAGGCATTTGGGGTGACCCGCACAGTCGTGCCGCCTCAGGCCCGGCCCAGCTGCTCACGGCCCGTCAGGACTGCCCAGTGGCCAGCAGCCCTGCCAGAGCCCAGACAGCACAGGGGGCCTGAGTTCTCTGCAGAGTGCTGGGTCGAGGTGCTCCCAAGTGCTTCAGCATGAGGGGGACACAATAAAGTATGGAAGCAAAGCACCCCCCAAAATGCTGACCGCCTCAACAGAAACAACCTAGAAAATGCCAAAAACGCAAGGGAATGGGGTACGGGAACGGGGTGAGAAACCCGGTGGAGGGAGGGGGACACTGGGGGGGCCTAGAGTCACCCGCAGGTGCTGAGGGTGGCGGGGGAGGGGCAGGCAATGCGGGGTTGGGTGCCGGGAACCCCCACGTGCTCCCCCCCTTCTTAAAGGTCACGATGCTGCCGCAGCTTCCTGAGACACGCTCCAAACCCTCACTTTCCTTTGGAGAAAAATGGGACCTCAATTTCCACGTGGGCGCTGCCGGAACAGAGCACGAAATCACACAAAACTCCCTGAATCGGGCAAATTACTTCCAAGCTGGTGCTCAAAGGCCAGCTGAAAAGTGTTCTGCATTATCGAGGCAAATGAGAACTCAACTACTAGAGAATTGCAGGAAAATGCGCTCTCGGTCCTTCCCCCAGCCGCCAGTCCTCGGCGCGGCCGAGCAGGAAGCAGCCGGCAGGGCCGGAAGCAGCGGGCTCCCGGCATCGGGGGAGAGTTGCAGCGACTCACCTGCGTCGTCCAAGGGCCGCTTCTGTGCTCCGTATCCGTACACTGAGGGGTCCACTAGAGGCGTGGAATTATTCAAGTGAGGAATTGAATCAATTTTAGCAGCAATCTAGAGAGAATCAGATTTAAATGCTCAGTAACACATCGCGGCGAGATTTGAGGGAGCAAGATAAGGGTCCTCCTTTGAGGGCTGCTGCATCAGCAAGGGGCATGTCCCCACAGACAAGTGCTCCTCCCCAGTAACTGAGTTTTCTCTCGGTTTTAAAAACAAATGATAGAAATAAATCTTCAGAAAGAGTACTTCCAAAATTCTGTCAGCTACAAGCAAATCGGTGTACTGGGGACTGGGCCATACCTGGGAGGTCTCAGGGCTGACTCCTGGCTCTGAGCTCAGGGATCGCTCCTGGCAGGTCTCAGGGGTGCCAGCGATTGAACCCAGACTGGATGCAGGCAAGGCAAACACCCTACCTGCAGTACTATCACTCTGGCCCTGAAAATTACCATTTCCCAGCCTTTCTGCCAAATACAGGAATACCACATGTGGGAGCAAGCAGGTGACATTAAGGTCTCTGTCCAAGAAATAGTTTTAATCACAATCATCCCAAGATGCCTTTCAGCAGGGCAATCCCCGGGATCACCTCCAGGCTCGGGTGTCACGCCTGAGGACAGGACCCAGCCTGCAGTCACCGAGGACATGTGCTGCAGAAGATGGAGACTGGAGTCCGCCCAGGGCGGGGGTTGTGGCCATAAGACATTCAGGCTACTGAAAAGGTCCCTGACCTGGCGGCAGCGAGATAACTTTGTGGAAATCTTTAATAGCAATATTTCGTATGCTGAGCCACGAAACACACTCCCTCTCGAGAGGGAAGGACTGTGCCTCCACAGTTGACCAACTTTCCCCAAATCAAAGGGCGAGCACCTGGCCCGGCTCTGGGACCTTGTGACGCTCAAAGCAGGGCTGCAAATGCAAATTCAGGACCTGGGGCCAGCACAAAGCTCTGAGGCCAGAATGGAACCACCTGTTAGGGCGAGCGAGCACTGGACACTGAGCAGGCCCTCTTGGGCGGGGCGGGGCAGGGTGTGCCAGCGGGCTCTCAGCACAGGCCACCACTCCCAGGCCTCCTGTGTGCTGGGCTCCTGGAGTCTGCAGCATATGTGTGTGTCTGTCTTCCCCAAGGAAGCTCAGTGCTCTAAGAGAAGGGAATGACAGAGTCTGAGCTGACCAATGTGGCATGTGAGGTCATGGCACTTGACTGGCATGTGGCTGATCCGGTCCAATCCCTGGCACCACCAGGAGTGAACCCTGAGCACAAGGCTGGGAGCAAGCTCTACTGGGTGTGGCCTCAAGCCCCGCCCCCCATAACTGAATCAAGAAAGTGATGTGAGCTCAGAGACCTAAAGGGGGCAGCGCGCACCCCAATCAGACACGCCTCCCAGCAGAGGGGAGCTGAAGGGGGTAGAGAGGGGGTGGGGAACAGGGGACCCTGCGGGCCGGGCCCCCGCCCTGAAAGGCAGGCAGAAAAGCACTGGGCAAAGAGAGAACAGGTTAAGTTAGATCTTTCAAGGTCTGATTGGCAGGAAAACAGGCTCCAAGGGGCGAAGGCCAGGCCACTGAGAATACACACGATCGTCTTATGTATGTGGGCGAAGTTAGTGCCAAGGCGGAGCCGGGGTTTCAGGCACAGCCCTGGTCAGCGAGGTGACAACAAGCGAGCGGGCCAACAGCCATACCACCCTGAAGTGTGCTGGATCTTGGAAGCTAAGCAGGGTCGGGCCTGGTTGGCACTTGGTGGGCCCACGTGAGGGAGTCCCCTTCTTTTGGCAACTGCCATCTCATAACACCCCCTCCCCTGCGCACCTGGACTGGCCTGGAGCCGTGCCCGTACACCAGCCTGGGGCTGTGTGCATGTGCGTGCTCCTCCCGGGGCCATCTACATGCATGGCGACTCACCCGAATCCATGTGCGTGCGTGTACACCCACCCAGAGCCCACGTGCGTGTGCATGAAGACCCCCTGGAGCCGGTGTGCTTGGGCACAGACCTGCACCGAGCCCATGTTCGTGAATATGGGCTGGAGCCCATGTGTCTGTGCATAGACCCTCCCAACATCCATGTGCACTCACGGAGCCTCTGGAAGACCAAAGGGAAGGTCCAGACCATGGTCCCTGTCCGGGAGGTGGTGACAGTCTGGAAGGGGCTGTGTTTTGTTTCTGGGCCACACACAGTGGTGCTGGGGATCAGATAAGTGCAGGCTGTGGGTGAGATGAACCTGTTCCCGGCCTCTGCGTTTAAAACTCTCCCTTAAGTCATGGGCAACCTTGGGACAGGCAGCCTCTGCTCCGGAACAGAACACCTTGAGGTCCGAGTGCAGGGCTGGAGACGGGTTTGAGACGAGGGCTTACCTCAAGGGACCCCTGAAAACAGGGATCATAACATAGTGGCTTGTGGCCCTCAAACGCCCTTTCCCCTGCAGTAAGCAGGAAGACTGACAGGGATTTTGCAAGAGAACCAGCTGGTGTCTTTTACCATCTGTGTGCAAGGTAAATGCCCTACCCACTGTCCCACCTTTCTGGCCCCGTCGGGCAGTGATTTTTTTTTTTTTTTTTTTTTTTTTTGCTTTTTGGGTCACATCTGACGATGCACAGGGGTTGCTCCTGGCTCTGCACTCAGGAATTACTCCTGACAGTACTCAAGGGACCATATGGGATGCTGGGGATCGAACCCAGCTCGGCCGTATGCAAGGCAAATGTCTACCCAGTGTGCTACTGCTCCAGCCCTGGGCAGTGATTTTTGGAGGCAAACTGTAAGACTCTAGGCAGACAGCGAAAATGTCCCCCAAACTCAGAGTTCCCCAAAGGCTTCACTTCACCGGCAGATCCCTGCTCTACTCTGCCTCAGGCACTTGCCTGACTCCCGTGGGCTGATGCTTTCCTGTGGCTTGTTCTGCCCTAACCACAGGTGACAGCACCTCCCACCTGCTGCTGGAAGGTGCTTTGCCCCAGAGCTGCCACAGCTGGTGCAACACCACTTTTCGCCCCCCAATCCAGATGACCAATTGAGCGCCTCTCAGCCCGCGGCTCAGTGGACAATGCTTGGCGCTGAGCGGTAAGGGCCACACAGAACTTGTATGTGCAGGGCTGGAATCTGAACCCTGGCACCTCTGGGTCTGAACACTGAAAAGCCTGAGCATAACTGGGGCAGGGAAAGACATGGGCCCTCAGAGGGGACAGGCACAGGGGCCGGTCTTGGTACTTTGTTGCATTTCTCCTCATGCCATATAGAAACAATGTATTCCTTCAGTCATGCAAATGCTACATTGTTGCAAGCAACAAGCCCTGGAAAGCAGATTCCCCAGGCACCAGAGTCCTGAGGCACCATTGGTGAAGACACTACCCGGCAACCCAAACAGTCAGGAGTGGCTCCTGGGCACCGCTTGCTGTGGAGACAGCAGAGGCAAGAGTAACTGGTCTAGGATCACCACAAGCTGGGAAGACAACGTGATCCCGACTGTTCTCTCCTGAACCCCCGGGGTGCAGGGCTCCCTTAGTCACAGGCCTTTCCCCAGATGTTGGCTTCACTTCCAGAGAGTGCCCAGTGCATCCTGCGCTCAAGCAACCCCGCACACCCTAACCAATTGACCCTGGCTGCTGGCGGGAAAGGGCCACACCCCCCTCTCTGCACAAGAGCAGGCAGGGCTGGAGCCACAGGGCACCGACACAGGGCAGGGCGTCTGCTTGGTACCTAGCATAGGGCCAACGTGGGTTTAATCCCCGGCATCCCACAAGCCCCGCCAGGAGTGATTCCTGAGCGCAGAGCCAGGAGCAAGCCCTGAGCACCGCCAGGAGTGACCCAGAACACCAGAGTGCAGGTTAGAAGGCAGCAAAGCTACCGCAGGGGTCCAGACCAGGCCGCTCAGCCCTGGACAGGGCTCTCACTACCTGTGCTGCCACCGGTAACCGCTGCCACCTCACCACCACCACCACGAGTCACTGAAAATGCAGAGGGACACTGGAACAGGAGGGGTCCTGGGGCGGAGCCCGAGGAAAGACCTCCCTGTGGTCTGGGGGTTCGATCTGCAGGGCCGGAATAATGCTGTTTCCCAAAGAGAGCACACAGAAGGCGCACGCTCACACACACACGACCTACCTCACATCTACCTTCGGCAGTGCTCAGAGCTGACTCCTGACTCTGTGCTCCGGGGACCACAGGCGGTGCCGGGAACTGAATTGGAGTTAGTTGGGTGCCAGGCAAACACCTTAACCCCGTATTACCTCTCCATCCCCAACCCCCACCCCCAATTCAAACAGATCTAAGGGCTGGAGAGAAGGCGCCCAGCTGAGCAAGTGCCTGCATATCTGAGGTCAGGTTTGCGCCATAGCAATGCCCAGTGCCAAGAGCAACCCTGAAGCACTGGGCTGGGAGTCAGCTCCCAAGCACTGCCAGGTGCAGCCCCCAAACCAATAAAGAAATTCAGAGGCCGGAGAGATAGGACAGCAGGGAGGGTGAGCGCTTGCCTTGCAGGTGGTCGACCCAGATTTGATTTCAACGCCCCATGCCCCATATGGCCCCCTGCGAGTGACCTGCCAGGAGTGTGAATGCAGAGCCAGGAGTCTGCCCTGAACATGACCAGGTATGGCTCCAAAACAAATCTAAATTTTAAACAGTATTAAGGGTTCACTAATAAGCCAAAACTCGGTTAATCAACAAAACACTACAGTGGTCAGAAAGGAGAAAGGCCCTATTCCCTGGGCCCACACTCCGGGATACAATCCACTCCCGTTCACTGGCCGTGGGCGGGGCGTGGGGGTGACCAGGGCAGTGCTGAGGCAGAGAATCTCCCCTTCAGCTAACTACACCTCATACTTCCTCCTTGCCTGGACCCACACTGGGCACAGACTCACACGGGTCCCGCAAGCAGTGCTGAGAGCTGGGTGTGCCTGCGCCCTGCAGAGTGAGTGGCCGAGCGGGGACCACAGTCCATCCCCACGAGGAGGCGGCAGCGGGGGGCCTGAGAGTCCACGCCTGCGCCGAGCAGTCCCCGAATGCTGAGACCAGGGGCCTCCCTCCGCGCTCCGGGGGGTGGGCTGCAACGGACATTCGGCACCGTCTC